ATGACTAAACACCGAAGGCGCACGTAATGCTGTTACCTTCTCACCAATGGTGGCTCCTATTTTTCTACTTGCATTTTTATGTGCTTTCAAACTGCTAGGTTGGCAGAAACTGGGACAAGTAACGGGAGCTCACTCCATTACGGGGTGCTAGGGATTCAAACTGCTGAACTGCTGGCCTTTCTGATTGACAAGCTCAGCATCTTAGCCCCTGAGCCACCACGTCTCTTGCCATTCTTGAGATGAACTGAGTTTCAATTAAGTTGCAAGGGTTATGTCTGTTGACCAGAGCTTAGTTGAGTGACCCCCAGCATTGTTGGAATTTACATTGGTCCCAAAGGAAACACTTTTAATTGTGCATTAACTAAGGCAGTCAAGAGGTTTCAGAACTAATTCATTACCACGAGCATATTATTATATAATAACAGAATGTTCTATAAAGGATAGGCTTAATTCAGAAGCCCTCAGGCAGGTTTTGGATGCACAGACTGATGAATAGATACATTTATACTAAGTATACATACATTATATTGTTGTATTGATTTTTGAAAAGTTCCAGGTCTGACAAGCTGTAATGAGATTTTCGAACTTTGGGCTGTGATCAATGAAAGGAATATTATTGGCCTGCAGAATTGATATAAGCCCTCTCTGTGGATTGCTCCGCTCCCAGGCTGCTCCAGCCCCCCACATATAGGATTCCATCAGACACTTAACCTCTTTTACAGTGTCATCAGGCTAAAAGGAATCTAATAGTGACACAGGACTTGTGCGTATCTCTCCGGCACTATTGCTTTCCTGTCACAAATAATTTATAGCTTTCTATTTCCATTCCTTTTCCTGCACCCCATCACTGCTTCCTGGGGCTGCTGCAGGAGGGGGGCATGAGCAGAGATGCGGGATCAATATGCTCATACATGCAGAACCTTATAGTGCAGCCTGGCAGCGGAACAATGGTGAAATTTGTCCTTTCCTACTTTCCGTAAAGAATAGCTCTAGAACGTACCTCCACTACATGCTTCGTGTTACCTCAAAGCAGAGGTGAGTTGCTATCGGTTCGCATGAGCTGGTGGTGGTTTTTTGGCCTGGGTCACAGGCTAGCCATGCTCCCAAACCGGTTCCCTGGCTGCTGCTGGCATTGTCGGCATGGGTTTTTTTTGTCCATTTTTAATGTTCTGCCCATGCGCAGGACATTTTACAGGCAACTCTGCATGCACGCAAAGCGAACTGGTAGTAATGCTGGCAGCAAGCCACCCCTGCCTCAAAGCTACAGTGGAGGGGACATTTCCCCTGTGCTCTACCATAAGGTCCTTCCTTAGGTTGAGTGTCTCCAGCAGGATGTGAAAACCAGATACTCCTGAAGAAGTCATATGGACTTAATAACCATGGCTTCTCACTGTGGTCTGCTGTTTTGAAACAAGGTGCCTCTGAGTGTTGACGTTCATTTCATTATGCTGAACAGATGTTTTAAATTGTATTACTGGAGACAAGTTACGGATTTTCTTTGCAAACACTCAAATATTGGCCATTTGTACTTCTAATAAATGCAATAGTACTGTATTTTTCAAAGACACATCGGAGTATAAGATGCACCAAGGTTTTCAAGAGGCAAATTTTAAAAAAGGTAGGTAGGTAGATAGAGGGATAGAGAGGGAGAGAAATACAGTAGGTAGGGAGGGAGAGAGAGTAGTTAAGTAGGTAGGTAGATAAAATGATAGAGAGAGAGAGAGAGAAATACAGTAGATAAGTAGGGAAAGAGAGAGAGAGAGTAGGTAGGTTGGTAGGTAGAGGGATAGAGAGAGAGAAATAGAGAGAGAAATACAGTAGACAGAGAGAGGGAGGGAGGGAGGGAGGGGGAGAGAGAGAGAGAGAGAGAGAGAGAGAGAGAGAGAGAGAGAGAGAGAGAGAGAGAGAG